TTTTTAACGCAGGAGTATAAGGAGATTTTCTTGCATAGCTCGGATATATAGTCCTCTTTGATTGCTGCCCATCTAACTTTGTTGACAAAGATTTTACTTCATTCAAAAGAGTTTCATACTTATCACAACATGTTTCACATTTACAGCAACAATCAATATTGAAGGCATTCACATTTGTTGTTTTTATCACACCAGGGGTATCTTCTCCCCTACCAAGATCAGCTAAATATGATTCATCTCTTCCTACTCCACCAAAAGATCTACAAGTATCTAAAGCAATCTGGCCATCACCGTCTCTCTCAACTCCATAATTTCTCGCAACACTATTCTCTCCACCAGTTATCTCAAGACCTTCTTCAACAACAGTTATATTCAGTTTTATAGCTGTTACAAGTGCCAACTCTTCTTTTAAAGCATCAATTTTTGGATCCGAACTATCTTCATATGACTCAATATCTTGAACATAAATTTGTTCCTTCTCTATGTTTGTTGGAAAAAGAAAAGGGTGAACAACCTGATTTTGCATCTGCATTTTAAAAAAAAAAGTTATTCATAATTTAAAAACAACTGAATCAGTTGTCCAATTACAACTTCAGTAATATGTGATTGTGGAAATCACTTTTATTGTTGTTGGACAACTAAAGTAGTTGTGGAAACAAGTTTAGTTGTCTTATAATTACAGTAGTATTTCAATATTGCATAACACAATTAATATTATGTAGAAATATAATATTTTTGAAAAAACTAATTTAGTTGTACAATAATAGCTAAGTTGTATGTTTACAACTTTTACTGTTGTTGGACAACTTGAATAGTTGACGGAACAACAAGTTCAGTTGTCCAATAATTACACTACTTGTTTAACTTTTGCATAACACAACTACTAATATTATGTAGATATAATCTTACTTGTTCTTTTGTCTGATAAATAGGATCAATATTTGTCTTGTAAGCAGGTGTTCCAGCCATCCATTTAATCATTCTTGGAATTGATTTTTCAGGTGAAGAATCCTTGGCCAATCGTTGAAGTGCCGGAATAGCTTCAAACGCCCAAGCCTACAATATAATATTAAAAATAGCTTAGTATAGATAATAAAGTCAAATAATAATTTAACTAAAAATTATAAAATAAAAACATCAATTTAATTACTTACGGCGAACGCCCACGGACATCCATGAAGATTATACTGAGATTTGGTTGAATCTAGCTCTTTCAAAAGATAGCTAATGATAAGATCAAAGCTAACTCAACCCTATGGATATGAATTGAACACACTTTTTTTGGATGCCATCTTTAGCTAATGAGTTTCTATCTTCTTTTCTGCACTTTTTGAACACAATACACAATGCAAAAACCAAACCTTACTAATAGCAAGCTTTTGATTTTTGGTTAAGCATGGATCACTCATCTTTTCTATGAGTACAGCAGCATTTGCAGATTGACCCACCAGATCAACCAAAATTTCACCTTCTTTTCCAATTTTCGCTAATTGTTGACTTAGAGGAGGTAGGGAATGATACCGAAGTCCAGTCATAATAACGAATTCATTAATGTCAAAACAAAGAGGCAAACCATTATAATCAATCCAAACCTCTTTTTTCTTTTCAGAAAATATACGACGAAGACAAAGGCCATGTACTAACTTCATTGGAAGTTGTACTGCTACAGATTGATCCAACTTCAAAAAGTGACCAAAACAAGATTTTTTAAAATCATTTTCAATTTTTTGTGCGATTAAAATCTTTCTAAACTCAACAAATTGAGCTCCAAAACCAACTCTCGCATTGATGCTTGAATCATAAGACCCAGACACACTCAAGTGGGTCTTAAACTTATACTTATCATTGGAAATGATTTTAACATAATTTGGAGAGGATTCAATACCTTCTTCTTCTTTTTCATCCGATTGTTCACTTTCACTTTCTTCACTTTGTTCCTCTCTACTTGATTCATCTCCATGACTCTCACCATCTTTTTTCTCTTCACTTGAATTTTCGTTGCTATTTTCATCACTTTTTTCTTCACCTGATAGGTCACTGTTATTCTTACTATTTTTATCCATTTCACTAGATTGATCGTCGCTACTTTGATCACTTTTTTCTTCTCCAGATGGTTGTCCACCGATACTTTGAAGTGTTGTGGTACCTCTTTTTCTAGCAGCAGTTAAGCTCTCAGCATTTTCTTTAGCATTTGGATTGGATGAAGATGTTCCAGTTCTCTTCCTCTTATATTGAAGCATTATAACTACACTAAAATAGTTAAAAGTTAGTAAATAGTAAGAAATTAACTGAATATGATCAACAAAAAATGAGCAATAGTGGTACATTATAGATCAATAATTAAATTATTTGTCCTACAACTAATCAGTTGACCAACAATTAAACACAATTGTCTAACAACTGCAGTAGTTGTTGGGACAACTTCTGAATCGTCGGACAACTACAGGAAGTTGTTGGACAATTTCTGTATTAACAAAAATATAAAGTTATTTCTATAAACAACTTCAGTAGTTGTCCAAACAACTACTTAAGTTGTTGGCTGAAACAACTAAATTGAATTCACTAAACCCAGCTGAAGAATGGACACAAAATATTTTTTATACTTATCAAAAATGCTCTTTTGAGTTAATTTCAAGTTCAAACGGAATAAATATAATGTAAATGTATTAACAAAAATATAAAGTTATTTCTATAAACAACTAAATTGAATTCACTAAACCCAGCTGAAGAATGGACACAAAATATTTTTTATACTTATCAAAAATGCTCTTTTGAGTTAATTTCAAGTTCAAACGGAATAAATATAATGTAAAAAAACAAAAAAA